GAGGAATGCTAATGCTTCTACACTACCTTCCAAGAGGGACAGCTAAAGAAGCAATCCAATGATTTGTCTGAATGTTGAAAATAGTGTAGTACACTTAAACCATTAGGTGAGGAATAGAGTGATCTTAAATTAAACTATGCTCATGTGGCAGTAATTTATTCATCACAGCAGTGAAAACTGGGATTTTTTATTTTTTTTTTTTTCTCCCAGTAGTGCCTACAGTTTTAAGTGTTCTCTCTCTAGGCTCCTTCCAGGCAAGGTAAACCTCAGTTTGCTGTTTCAGAGTATAGCCTTAGGGTAAGTGTGATTAGTCACTTGGGGATGCTTTGTGTGTGGATGAGTTATTTAACAACAGAAATTGCCTAGGTTTTAAAGCCTTTTGAATTTCATTATTTTCTATTGCTAGAGCTAGTTCTTTGTTACCCATTGTACCACAGTCTCTAATCCTAATACTCCTGATTATCCCTACTTACTGTGCTTTGGTTCACACCATGAAGCAGTCTTGGAGCTCGTGACCCGAGTTCCTTTCAGATGAAACTAAACTGGAAGATGTGTTCCAACTGCAAATGAGCATTCAGCCCATGGGACCAGAAGAGAGCTAGTCCAGAGTGTGTTTCAAGAAAAAAACAAACCCTGAGATACCCATAATGTTGACATCAGGTCCTCTGCACTGTTTCTCTCTACAAATGTTTCAGTCTAGACATAGCTTCTGATGGCAACTTTGCATTTGAGACTACCTTGGTTTTACTTAAGACATTCGATTCTGTTTTAATGACTTAGACACCTGTGTAACTGGGAAGAAAAGCAGTGTGTGTGTCGGGGGAGAATCGTTCATGCTGGAGAAGTGAGTTTTTCTTCCTTCATCATTTTGATAGAAAATTAAAACAGTAATGCTGTAAGTTAAGGAATAACAGTCCTTGTTCCTTGTTTTCCATTTAGGAGAGGAGGGGTCTTGTGAACTCTTTCAGCTCTTTGCATGGTAACCAAAGGTGGCACCTGCTAAGGGGGACAGCAGGGTCCTGGCAAGCTCTTCCGTCCTTCTCAGGGACTTGGGACTCTCTCTGCATTGTGCATTTCAGCAGGCTGAGGCTAACTGCTGTAGTGGGTTTCAATTGGGATGTTACCATAGCATCCTGGGACTTTTACAATCTATTTGGAAGTCCAAAGGTTTGAAAAGAGTGCTTGAAAGTTTCTGAACTCTGGCAAGTTGCCAAAATGTAATTACACAAAAGACAAAGCTGTAGTGAAAGCAGCTCTGTTCAGAGAAGCAGCACCTGAGTGCTAGAGTTCCCAGCATAGCCATCTCGGAGAGCAGGGACTGTTTTATCACAGTCTCCTCCCAAAACTTTTTTTCTTCTTCTCACGTGCATGTACCATCCCACAAGCGTAGACTGGGTGTGTTGCAAGATGCAGCTTTCTCACCAGTGGTATTAGAAGAGACTATTCTGTGGTTTGGCTGCTCTGGAGTATATAAAGGAAAGGAGTGAAAAAGTCGCTACTGCAAAGGTGTCTTTAGATCTTCCCATGGAGCAAGAAACTTGTTTTATTGTTTTCTCATCTTTCTCCAGAATATTCTCACAAGTGAATCATAGAACGGTTTGGGTTGGAAGGGACGTTAAAGATCATGGAGTTCTAACCCCCCTGCCATGGGCAGAGATATCTTCTACTACATCAGGCTGCTCAAACCCGCATCCAGCCTGGCCTTGAACCCCTCCAGGGACGGGGCATCCACAGCTTCTCTGGGCAACCTGGGCCACTGCCTCACCACCCACACAGGAAAAAATTTCTTCCCAATATCTAATCTAAATCTCCCTGCTTTCAGCTTAAAACCATTACCTCTCATCCTATTCCTGCACCCCCTGATGAAGAGCCCCTCCCCATCTCTCCTCTAGCCCCCTTTCAGCACTGGAAGGCTGCTGTAAGGTCTCCTGGAGCCTTCTCTTCTCCAGGCTGAACATCCCCAACTCTCTCAGCCTGTTCTCATAGGGGAGGTGCTCCAGCTGTCTGACCATCTTCATGGCCTCCTCTGGACTGGCTCCAACTGGCTCCTTCCTAAGGGAAGAATCTCAGCAGCTGTTAAACTTGCCAAGAATGTTTGAGCTAAGTTTGTTTTGCTGTTGATATCTTGCTTACTTAAGCCATTCCTCTGAGTTTGCAGCTTGTTTTATTTTTACGTTCAAAAGAAACCGGAAAAGACATCTGTTCGTGTGTATTTAAAAATCATTAAGGTGTTGGTCATACTCCCTACATGCTGTTGGAATACCTGCAACAGCTTTGGGTCATCACTATTTCTTTTTCTTCGAGAAGGGTTTACCTGCTAGCGTTACTACTTGCCACATTAACAGTAACTTCACCTCTGGGCAACCGTTAAGGGAAAAGTGACCGAGTTATTTTTGTACTGCCCGTCTACCCATGATAAAGGAATTTCAAAATATATAGTTTGTTCAAAATGTATAGTGTTCCTGTCTCTTGTAGGGATCTTGACCCTGCCTGAGAGCAGATCTGTTGATTTGTCATTGGGCTGCTTGCTGGATAGCTCCAGCAGGGGCTGGCTCCTGTGAGCTGAACCTTTACAACTTACAAGAAGGAATTTATAAAATATGGTCTCTGAAATGCAGCATCTTAACTAGGATAAAATTCTGACCATGCTTGCTGACTCGAGCTTTTGGGGAAAAAATCCTTCCATTGTATAGTTAAACAAAATCTTATTGCAAGCAATGAGGAATGAAGGAAATATTGTACCTCTTTTACTCAGCTAGCTGGCGGCACTTGGCTGTCAGCACATCCAGGTGTGCTGATGTTCCAACGCATCCACCCGCTCTTTTAACTGAGTAAGCAACAACAAATGATATCATACCCTGCTGCCTGCTAGGTTTAGAGCCATCCCATGCTGAAATGCAAGGGAGTTATTGGAACTAAGGATTAATATGGTAGGGCTGTCTGCTGTGAATTAATGGTATGTTAGCTTCATGTCCGGACCTTTCTGTTACAGTTGTGCCAGGATCCGCTTCCAGGTGTTGCATGTGCTGTAGTTGTTATGAGCAACATAACTTGGTGTGGTTAGTTGTATCCTTGTGCCTTCATCTTCTTTTTCTTCCTAAACATCTCCCTTATGTGTGTCATCTTTCTGTAAGCTGCCTTCTCCTGTTATACCAAATTTCTTCTTTTTCATTTGTATCCTGATTTTCTCCGTCTGTCTATCAAATCATCAGCAAAACAACACAAATTGGAAATGAAAATAGTCTTACAAGCTGTGGTTTGGGATGAGAAAATCTGAAATCCCATTTCTAGCTTTGTCATGGGCATCTTCTGGGCCTTTATGCAGGTTACTTTCCCTTACTCTGAACTCGTTCACTCTAAGGCAGTGACCTACAACACTTTGTAATGAATTCTCTTTACTTACAATGATAGTCATGGGAGCCCTTTCCCATAATTTTGGCATATTTTGATAAGGCACATGATTTATTTATTTACTTTAACCTCTTGGGACAATGGCTGTGCTTTCTTCTGGTTTGTACAGCACTGGTGCATGAATAAGGTTTCATAAATACGAAATAATATATTTATCCATTATATTTACAGAAAGAGGATTCTTAATTCCAGGATTCAAGAATCATGAGTGCTTCTTAATTATAAGACGGTTGTAGTTATATTTGAGTTGTATTTCTTTCTGGGTAGGAAGGCTAGAAACAGTGTGTTCTGCACCTAGCTTTCAACACGTGACAAAAAATTCCATTTACTTACATGTCTCTGAGAGCCAGGACATAAAAAACCAAACAAACAGAAATGTAATCTTTTCTGAAACATTGAATTGGCTTCTCTCCACACACCACCCCCCAGTTTTTGCATGACTTCTTAATTTTGCTTAACTCTGTCTGGTATAATTATCTTTCAAATGCGAGACCATTTTCTAGATACTTAGAAGGATAGTGATTTAAACTATTTATATTTAAAGAGATTATTTATAATTGCAAACTGAGAGGGTTTGCACTGACCACTGGATTTTTTCTGTTGCAGAGATGCTACCTGTGGAGAGATTCCGCTGTGATGAAAGTGAACTTGTATCTTTTCATTAATTCTCTCCTATGCAGCAGTGTTAAGCTGCTGTCCCAAGTGAATGTTTTTAATGATCTCTCTGGAGTGTTTGAAAGCTTTGTCCCACTTGCACGATGCAGAGTGAAATGCACAAAATCTATCTTTAGGCAACCCTGTCATTATACCTTTTGGTATATAGTGTTGGTATTTGCATTTCTATTGTTCTTGCATGTTGAATTTTTCTGTGCTTTACTCTCCTTTAAAGGAGAGCTTCTCACACTTCAGAGAAACCTTTTTAAGACAAAAGTTTGCTATAATAAGCTAGCCTAAAATGCTTACAACTCAAATATGAGAAAATTGTTCTAAAATACAAGAATGTGAATATCAAATTGACTGTCCATCATAATGGCCAACTACTCTTTTCAAAATGCACTGGTGCAAAGTGTCATTTAGTGAAGTGTCCACCTGCTTTTCATGTCAACTGAAGTGTATCTTATACACCCAATACAGTGAAGTTTCAGTAACCTAGAAATGAAATATTGAGACTTGTGTTAAAGAGACTTTTTTTTGTTTTGTTTTGTGAGTTCACAGAAAACTGTGGTGAGAATAGCAGTGAAGTTCAATACTAAAAGAAAGGCCATCTTCTGGTCAGATAAACAACAGTTACTCTTGGCCAGCCATTTTCCAGTCGATTGGTTTCAAATAACTGGCTTTTGGACACCCCTTGTTGTGATTCTTTAGAATGAATTTTACTTTCGCAGACCTCTAATTCCTATAATTAAATTCCAATGTGTGGTTTTTGCAAATAGTCTTCTCTCTAGAGAACAGATGGGTATGAGCTTTGGAGATTTGGTTTCACAAAATGTAACTGCCAGTGGTTTTCTTGTTACTGTTCCAGCTGGCTCCAGAACTTTCACATTGGTTCAGCTTTCTAACGTTCTCTTGTTTTGACTTTATCTCCACAGTTTTAACAGCGTGCGTCAAGGAACACACATCTTGTTCCGTGAGTTCAGCTTTGTCCAAGCTACCCCTCATAACAGGGCGTCTTTTCTTCGGACCTTCTGGAGGTGTTTCCGAACAGTGGGGAAAAATGGAGGCAAGTATTCCAGCATCAATTGCTGTCCTGTTACCTTGACATTAAAGGCATTAGCAGTACAAATACTGACACATCACACTCTTCTAATGTTCTAGCATCGTTAATAGGGAGACACCATCACAGTTGCCTGTGGAATAGTTAAAAAATGCTCACAGCATAAAGTAGCAAAGGAGCACCTTATTGCCAGTGCTACTTCCATTACAGAACAGCATATCAAGCAACAACAGATGAGAGGGAGGGCATTTGGGAGTGAAGTAGGTGCTGAGATTATTAGGCAGTTGGGGTACTGAGTGCTCTGACTAGGAGCCCTGCAGGAGGTAGGGTATATAGTGGTGTTGGGCTTGTAGGGTGGTGAATGCTGCCACCCGAGCTGTGCCTGAGTTAGTCCTGGCACATCACCTAGATGGTGATGGCTGTGGAACAGGGACCACTGACAACTGTGTGACCACTTCCCCAACCCTACCCACAAGGAATAAGCTCCAATGCCAAAATAACTATTCAGCACTGTACTATCTTGTCTGGCTGTTCTTATACTGCACTTGGTATATTAGGTATTACAGAACTGGCCAGAGTTCAAAATAAACTCGTGTAACTGCCTGCAACTAAAATTATGTTTTTTTCTAGTTTTTAGTATAGTATTTTAAATACACTGAGAGTTGCTGTACAAATAATTTTTTTTTTTTAACATAAGCATGAGTTGTTTCAGGCTATTCAGCCTCACTTCTTGTTGCAGAGAAAACTAGAACCATTCTCTTAAATATAAATGAAGACTCACCTTCTGGATAAGCTTTGCAACACTTCTGCTCATGATGAACAGAGTTTGTAAGACTCTGAATAATGGCTTGACTTTTTTGACATATGCCAATTTAGAACCTTGGAAATTAGACAATCATATTTAAACGTGACAAAAATCTGTAACTAGCCACTGAAGTGACTGACTATGCTGTCTGTAACACCGTCTTCCCTGTAATAGATACTTTGTTGTGTTCTAAATAATTTATATTAGGTCAGGGATAATATTTTTAAGATTTCAGGTAAGTTATGTGGTACTACTCTAACCAGTATGCAGTGAGGACATATTTGATTTGAGCTCAGGTCATAGTCAGGAAAGATAAAGTGTAGACTTGTAGAACATGTTTCTGTAAGAGAGTTAGAGATGGTAGTGAAGAAGTCATTCACCAGAACTACAGCTGTCAGTGGTGAACCTTGTTGACAAATTGAGAAGAAGCTATCTGGTGGAAAGGACCCACTGTGGTACTTTGTAAGGTTTCATCAAGCTTCATCTATTTAGCATCTGACTCAGACAGGTGATGGGCACCTGGATTTGCTAGGAAGAGCTGAAAAGTTTTAGCTACATATCTCCCTTCTCTTTTACTTTTAGCAGTTTTGTGTGAATATGGAAAAGGTTGTGGAAGAAAATGTAATCATCAAGTTACTTTGAAGGGGAAGGGAGAGCATAGGAACAAAAGCTCAGGTGGATGTTGCTATACTTTGGTTGTGACCTTAAGAGTTCAACATATGTTTATCTGACTTTAAAGTCCAGTGGCTGCACTTTTTAGTCTGAGCAAATATAGCATGCTTACCTGTACATTTATACATTTATATACACTTTATTTTTACATTAACTAGAGACAGAAATGCATCACTTTAGAGAACTTGCTGTCAATATTTTCATCCACTCAGTCTGATTCTCTCATTGTCTATCAGTAATTACAGACTAGAACCTTGATTTTATTAATTTCAGTTTTATTTGCTATGGGATTTTTTTTCTGCTATACTTGTGCATAGGGAAACTCAGAACATTCACTGTCTCTTAAGAACTAAACTCATTTACTAAGAAGAAGCTGAACTTGTGCAACATGGTGGGTGAAATATCATAGAATCATAGAATCATTAAGGTTGGAAAAGACCTCAAGGATCATCAAGTCCAACCATCAACCCAACACCACCTAACTCACTAACCCATGTCCCGAAGCACCACATCTACACATTTCTTGAACCCCTCCAGGGATGGTGACTCCACCATTTCCCTGGGCAGCCTGTTCCAATGCCTGATCACTCTTCCAGTGAAGAAATTTTTTCTAATATCCAACCTAAACCTCCCCTGGCACAACTTGAGGCCGTTTCCTCTTGTCCTATCACTTGTTACTTTAGAGAAGAGGCCAGCACCCACCTCACTGCACCCTCCTTTCAGGTAGTTGTAGAGAGTGATAAAGTCTCCTCTCAGCCTCCTCTTCTGCAGACTAAACAACCCCAGCTCCCTCAGCCGCTCCTTGTAAGACCTGTGCTCCAGACCCTTCGCCAGCTTCGTGGCCCCACACTCAGGCATAGACTAGGCCTGGATTTCTTTCCTTGAAATACATTGCTTTTAGATGAATGCTGGAAGGCACCATGTTGTACAACAAATAGCAGCAACCAGAAGTGAGATCACTGGAGAGCAGAACTGCAGAATGAGTCTCCTAATAATAGAAGAGTCAGACTAAGTAATGCCCAAAGCAAGTAAGGTTTTCAACTTCGAGCTTTCTGTAGAAGTGTGGCTGGTGATAGATCTTCTAACTGGATTATTCCAGAAACTAGTTTTAAGTTGTTTCTTTATGATGACTGACTAGAACACAAGACCATATGTGCATATCAAATTGTAAACAGTTATACAAGCTCGCATGGAATCATGACTCTATCGACCAATAGTTTGTTGCTACGGCATCTAATTTTATGATGATACGATTTTGACAGTTTAAACATTGTATTACATGCAAGAGTGCATTGGGTTTGCGTTGCAAAGTTTTGGTAATGGGAGGGCTATTGGGGTGGCTTCTATAAGAGGCTGCTAGAAGCTTCCCCGATGTCCAATAGAGTCAATGCCAGCCAGCTCCAAGATGGACCCACTGCTGGCCAAGGCTGAGCCCATCAGCAATGGTGGTAGTGCCTCTGTGGTAATGTATTCAAGAAGGGTAAACAAACACTGTGAAACACCAGCTGAAAGAGAGGAGTGAAAATGTGTGAGAGAAACAACTCTGCAGACACCAAGGTCAGCGAAGGAGGGGGAGGAGGTGCTCCAGACACTGGAGCACAGATTCCCCTGCAGCCCGTAGTGAAGACCATGGTGAGACAGCTGTGCCCCTGCAGCCATGGAGGAGCAGATATCCACTGCAGCCCATGGAGGACCCCACACCAGAGCAGGAGGATGTGCCTGAAGGAGGCTCTGACCCCATGGGAAGCCCATGCTGGAGCAGGCTCCTGGCAGGACCTGTGACCCCATGGGGAGAGGAGCTCATGCTGGAACAGGTTTGCTGGCAGGACTTGTGGCCCCGTGGCAGTTTTCTCTCCTGGGTTTGTTTCTGGGCAGGGGTTGCTCTGTATTGTCATTGATTTATATTTGCAAAGAACTATGAAGGCATCGTTTGTCTTCCTTTGTCAAAAGTCATTCACTAACTTCCATGTCTCCCAGGGTGTTCTTGTTTTTATTTATTCCTTTGCTATACAAGTGTTTACTGCCATTTCCCCCTCTCATTTATTTTAAGTTTCATTCCAGATTTGAATTTCTGTTTTAGGAGTGAGTGGGGGCTTTTTCTCAGTTTTGTCCAGCTGTGTGTCCCTGATAAACTGCATAAATGACAGGTCTGTGAGGATACAGGTCAACAGAATAAATGAGAACTTGCATCAAAGCTTGTAGCTTGGCTGGAGGAAGCAAGGGAGAATAACATTAGAGAAATGCAGCAGCTTTTATGTGACGTTTTTCTATGTTAGCCCTGTTGCTTGATGGGTTCTAGTTACATTGCCCTTCATAACTCCTTTTCTTTGGAGACTAGATTTATATTTTCTTTTGTCTCGAAATAGCAAGGAAAAATTACTAGTTTCACTAAATGTGACAGTGACATAATACCCTTCAAAAAATAAAGGAAAAGTTATGGGGTTTGTTTTTATTTTTTTTTTTAAAAGGGGATGTCTGTTTGGTGATGTGCTCGATCTGGGGTTTTTTTACAGGATTTCTCACTGTTTTTAGAAGCTTAGCAAGGTGCAGAGTTCTATTTTCAAGTATGCATAAGCATATCTGAGATTCCATGCATTGGGGAAAAAAAAAAGTGATCCAGTGTCAAGAAATTGGGGTGAACTTCACAAAATTTCTTCCCTCCCTTAAACGCTTACCAATGATATGCAACAGCCATAGAGGACAGCTAGCTTGTGGGTTGAGAAGCACAAAGCATAATGCTCTGTTAGCCACAGATTTCTCGCAGAGGAAAGCAAAATGACCAGAAGTCTTGTTTTCCCTCTGCTTATGCTTAAATTGACCTCTTGGAATCTAGCTGACCTGTTCTTTTGAATTGTCTGTTCCTCAGGACTCTTTAATTAAAACTGTGCTTTCTCAGTTTAAACAGCCCCTGCAGAGTTCTGCTGTGAAGCTTCATAAGGTCAACATATGCCTCTCCCAACCCCCATGGCTTTCATGTCTTGTTGGTTCTCTGTTTTTAATTAAAAAGATTTTTTCCTTAAATGCTTTCCAGCCAATTAGAGAAATTTTGCACTGAGAAACTTGTTCCAGGCCTGATGTATTGAGAAGTGAACAGAAAGCTCAGTCAGGACCATTGGCACTTTCTTCTAGAGCCCCAGCTTTCTTTGGTGCTTTTGAACAGCTTTTCTCTTTTTTTCTTTTTCTTTTTTTTTCTTCCTACCCTCAATTTAAAATTGCTTCCATCATAAATAGCTGCTGTTTGATACCTTAGATACAGCCCTGGAATGGTTCAACACCAGATACAGGATCTTTTCCTTTCACTCAAGGGTGATTGTTACTTTATTTAGATGCCACTGAAGCATAAAACTGCTGCAAAAGTATGCTGGGCTATACTGGTTGTGGATCCTTTTTGCAGATTGTTACCTCCCCTTCAGACAAAAAGTACTGTCACTGCTCATATTGAAATAAAGTCTTATAAATTTATATCTTGTTAATTTTACATTCATCATGTGGTGTAATGGCTGCCTCTTTAATTCTGCACACTTGAATT